TGCTGGTAGAAATTTGTCTTGTTTAAAGTCTTTTGCTGTTGTGGAGACTCATGGAACATCTAAATCCCAAGACCTGTATGCAGATGAATCTACAGGTTACATTCCCATCCCCAGAAACGGAGGCACAGCGTATGTATTATCATCTCAAGTTTCATTGCCCTCAGCGGAGGCTACACCCATTCATGGTCCTAATTGAGGGATGTAGTTGAGGGATGTAGTTGAGGGACGTAGTTGAGGGAAGTAGTTGAGGGATGTAGTTGAGGGATGTAGTTGAGGATGTAGTTGAGGGAAGTAGTTGAGGATGTAGTTGTTCCGTCTTTGCTAACATCATATATTATCAAACTTGTTTATCTTTGACTTCCCCGAACTTGCATTTTTTTTCTGCTAAGGACTAGATAGTAATTATGTTGGCCTTTGCGGTCCATACATTCTCAACTCTACCCTTGTAAGACAAAAGTAACCATCCATAACAAATATGCATTACCATGCTCTGATACAACTCTATCAGTGGGGCCTGCAATCTAAAGTTCAAATGATTTTAACATATTGTCAAATAATCATCTTATTTTGGTTTTGTTTTAAATACTTGAAAATATTTTTTAAAACATCCCTTGGTGCAGAAACAGACAGTAGGAATAAATTTAACCTGCCTATAATTTGTCATCCCTGAGATGAGGCTGTCTGTTCCCATAAATATTTATAGTCTCAGAAACCTACGGGAGCAATTATACTCTGCCCTATAGGGTCACTCTAAGGAAATAAATGTGTTGGCCATGAGTATTTTTGTTGTTGTTGGATTTGGTTTGGGCTCTAAACCAAAAATGTTTTCTTTTGAAATGTTTAGTTTGGAGTTATGAAGCATCTTCTGCCCCCTCCGCCTGCATTCCCTGAAAAAACAGCCGTCAGTGCAGACACACACAGCCCTCCCTCCATCTGGAAAGACAAATCCCGATGCAAAGCCACGCCAGCACAGACACTCAGAGAATAACGCCCATCTTTCTTAGCCCTGTCTTCAACACCAAGCTCTTTTCCTTTCTTTTTTTTTTTTTGCAAGCCTCCCACCCCCTCCCCACCACCACCACCACACACACCAAAGTAGAAAACCAGTCTAACTCATCATAGAACAGAACCCAGATTCGGGTGGGGCGCATAAGAGGGTGGCTTCCTGCCTGCTGCGTCTCGACTCTGGCACAGACTCGGGCCCGGCTTGATCTCGGACTCGGAAGAGGTGGGAAACGACTGTCCTTCAGAGTCCTGGGCTGCCTCACCACGCCAAACCTGAACGGAGCCCAAGGAGAGTGACTTCCTGGGAATATCCACTTCAGGATAAAGCGTCTTTTAATATGTTTATTGACTACCCATAGATATAGATCTAGGCATCGATGCTTTTCTGTAAACCATCTTTATGTGTCCGTTGTCCACATTTTATTTATTTATTTTTGTTGTTTTGTTTTAGTTATTTGTGACTTCTAAATAGAAATTTCACTACCTATCTTGAAAATACTTTCATCTGGTTTATAGTGTCTTGATTTTATTTATAATACTTTTGTCATAAAGAAATCAAATTGTTATGGAATCATATTTACTATACTTTTCCTTATGACTTCTAGATTTTGTGCATTGTTTGAGGCCCATTTTAAGACTTGTGAAACAAGATTGTCTTATTTTCTCTCAGGGCTTCCTTATAGTTTTATCCTTGAGTTTTTATTTTTAATGACTTTAAATTTTATTTTTCTGTGGTAATGTGTGGCATTTAAGCTGTGTGTCAACTTGGCCGGGCGAGTATTCTCAATGGTTTGGTAGTTAAACTATAGTAATCCCATGTGATGTGACCTAATACAATCGCTGTGAGCAGCCAATCAGTTCAGGTGTAGCTTGCTTCTAGTATAAGTGGATGCTCTGGAAATCCTTGCATGCATTTTAATGGGTCAGGATCCCACATCTGACTCACCAGCAGGCCTCCAGTTTTCAGACTTGCCCAAGTGACCTGCGGTATTGCCTGCAGATCTTCAGGAGTTATCAACAGCCTGCTCTTAACCTTTCACTCTCTTCTATAGCCAGAAGCCTGCTTTCTGACCTGCTGACCTTGGCTCCCTCCTCCCTGCAGCTGCCCCTGTCAGGAGACCCACACCTAGCTCTCAGGGACTTGGAATTTGCCAGCTTGTAGAACTTGTGATCCACTTCCTTGAGATAAATTTCTCTCTGTATATTTATATAAGTGTGTGTATATATATTCCTCAAATTGTTTCAAAATACCACTTTTATTTGGGAATGATTCTCAGTTTTCTAATTTTTTTCATGGGTTTATTTATCTTCTTTTTTCCGTGCCAGACGGCATTAGTCACTGTAACTTTATACTATGTTTTGATAGTTGGTAGTGCAAGTCATCATAACTTTTTAGATTTTTCTTCACATTACTTTTTAGATTTTAATGTATGATAGACTTTATTTACAACTTGATTGGCAAAAAGTAAGAGGGACAAGCTAAAAACAACTTAACACAAGATATCACAGCTGCTCCTGTCAGATCAAAGAAATTCCACCTCAAATGTATGCCTAATAGTCCAAAGGCAATACAACACCAACTCTACACACACAATTTCCTTTATAAGGTACAGTGTTCATATTTTAGACAGTCTTTTAAATCTATAAATACAAAGGATAGGAAACCGCTCAACAATTGCATTAAATGAAAGAGGCTTTATATTTAAATGTATCTTGCTCCACGGTCAATGAAAATCAAAAGTTGGAAAAGCACTTGAGTGAATAGTTAACAACCATTTTCTGAAATGATCAATATATTTCAATTATTAGGAACTATTCTGAACTTAGTATGAGATGTAGTCAAAGTCAGAGAAGACATAGGGAGAATATTCCTTCTATGGAGAAGGTTAGCCCTCCATATAAGCCTGGTAAATTAATATATCTTATGGAAGAATTCTAGGTGGAGAATATTAATGTAATCAATTTCAACTCATGCTGAGCTGATTTCATTTGTTCATAAACATATCATTCTTCTATATTAACTGTGTTTAATTCTTCTAGTTCATTCAAATCTTCCCGTGAAGAGTTTCATCAATAGGAACAGCGTCAATGGCTCCATTTTTTCCTATTTCTCCCGTTATCCTCTTCCAGAGAACTTTTTCCCGTTTTATGCCCTACTCTGAAAACTCCACTTACATTTCCTTTTCATGTGCTGATTCTTTTGAGACTGACTACTGTAATGTCTGCTCACCTACAGCTCTTGAAATGTACTAGTCTATAGATATCATTCATGTTCCCAGAATCTTCAGCCTCACCACCACCTTTCCCTGGGCGTAGTAGCTATCACGTCGCATCATCGTCAACCGGTTCAGGGTTGAACACCTCGCGCCAACGATCACTACTGCTTTCCCTGCATTCAAGTCTGCTTGTCTTCCTTCCTTATCTTTCCCAAGCTGACCAATCTTTGTCTTGTTTTTCCTCCAGTGCAAGAAAAGATTATAGTGTGGTCTTGGTAACATTTGGACCTATGGAAGAATGGTTTCCATGAAATTTCAGCTTTTATCTCTTTTCAGCACAGATCCAGGAGGTTTTGTGACGATACGTGCACCTATCACCCCCTCCAGGGCATACCCTGAACTAGCCATACTTGTTGTTTCCCACCTGTTTCAATAGCTTCACGGAACTGCTTGCAGTTTTGTTTTGTTTCCCATCTAACTGCTTCTTGTTCACTTTCTTTCAATTTTTTCTCATCCAGTTATCCATGGTACCTTTACTGAGTGCGACATCTCTTGTACCAATGTAAACACTTTACTTTTCACATTTCCTCTTGAGTCAAGTCACGAGATAGCTTACATTTATCTCCTTTAGTGCATCTTGGCCTGCAGAGTGCACACACCACAGACTTCAAATCTGTGCCTTCACTGGCAACTACAGGCTTCTACAGTTCATTTGTCTCCTGTAATGTTTCCTGCCATCTTCAACTTCTTTCCAGCTTCACTTTGCACTACCTGACATGGATTTTGTTCACCACATTTTAAGTTGATAAACTTACCAGTCTTTGTTTACATAGTATATCTGGTTAGAGAGGTGTGTACTGGTGTCAAGTTGACCAGGGTTGGTCTGTGGCAGTTGGCTCTGATGTCAGCTGGCTCTTGGGTAAGGGTGAAGTCCACTCTGTCAGTCATGTCACAGCCTGCTGATGCCTGCTGGTAGGTATGGGCATTTTATGAGACACCAGGGACCCCTTTTTCTCTTTGCCCCTTTGCCTTCCTGCCTATGGGAATTCTGCCTGCTTCGTGCTGGGCCCCATGTGGCCCTCCCAAGGTTGAGAACTATTGGTGCCCTGTCATGTTTGCACAGATCTTGGATCCACGAGACTGCACCACCAGCCTGTGATCTCCCTGCTGCCCACTACACCTTTCTCCATCAGTGGCCTGCAGTGATGTGAGTTAGCATTGGACTTACATACTTGAGTTGGTTTGGGCTGGGACAATCTCCTTGATATGAAATTACTTTTTCATATGAAGTTCTTGTACACAGACGAGCATCACTGGTTTCATTAGACAACCCAGCCTAACATATCATATCATAGCAATGTTCCCCCAAACACCATAAACTAAACCCACTGTCATCTAGTCAATTCCAACTCAGCGTGACCCTAAAGGGCAAAACAAAACTGCTGCAAAGCTTTCCCAAGACTGTCCATCTTTACAGCCAGACAGCCTTCTTTCTGCTGAGGAGCAGCTGGTGGGTTTCACTGCCAACCGTACAGTTAGCAGCTCAACACCTACATCACAAAGTTATCGGGGCGCCTTTATCAAGAGACAACTGTGGTCCATGTGTCCTCCCCTTTTGTCGAGGTGTGCAAGGTAAACAACACAGAAATGTTTCACACCTAGTTTAGCATAAATTACTACAGCTCTGACACAATAGCTACTTGTAAGATTTTTCTTAAAGACATCCTTCATGATAGACCCTTGGAGTACAAAGTTAAAAATGTAAAGAAAACACACTAGTGAACCACACTTGTTTTAATATCTATTCATTTTTTCAGCAACAGAAAATAGTATTTTAGCTTTGAAACATCAATGCAAACTATACAACTACACATCACCATAAAGATTAACCTTGTGGCATGTTACCATCAAAATAAACTACACTTTAGATTTTAACATATTTTTCAACAAGGTGAGTGGAGATTCCTGTAGCGAAAATACCATTCTTATTTAGAATGTGTCTTTGGATAATGCTCACAAGATGACACCAGCTCCATCAGCATTTGTTACAAAGTCATACAATACATAAAAATATCAGCAGTTGATAACATTATTCTTCTTTAAAAAGAATATACAGTACTAACAATGCCCAGTCCCCGAAAATGGCAGGTTTAAATAGTTGTAAATTCAAAGTATCTACTTCAAATAAATACCAATCTGGAAATAAAGCGAAGGGGGAGTGGGCGGGGACAGGAAATGTCCTCAGTGAAACCACTGCCGTTGCAACTGAACACACCTGCTCCTCAGAGCCAGTGTCAAGGTCAAGGCAAGACCCGTGACCTGCAGCAGCAAGAGTTTGCTTTGAGGGCAGCTCATGCACACATGCAGCTATTTGGAAAGTCTGATGGACAGACGTCCTACTCAGTTTCCCAGACTTCCTCCGTGTCATGAAGAGAAGCAAAGCTGTCCTTGGCTAACTGTGGGGTCCTCAAACCAGCGGATGTGACGGCCACCAGAAGTTAAGTTTTATTGGTCAATGGCTAACCACAGGCTTTCTCACCTAAAATCAGAGTGTCTAGTTTTGGTATACCCGAGGGTAAAAAATAAATTTTTTTTCTAAGAAAGCCATTCTGCTCGATTGGAATTACCATTGTTTCCATGGTTTCAAAGTAGAAACGCAAGGGACAAATGACAATGTCTGCCATTGCCAAAGGGTAGAGTCAGAGCCAAAGCTGCACCCTCGCTGACAGCACAGAGGCCTATCCTCGGGGCGCTGATGAAAATGGGGCAGAGCCACACTCTAGGGCCGACGGCTCCCAAATGCCGACACAATGAGCAGTGGAGGCAGATGTGCCACAGATGGACACCCACCTCACGGAACAGCTCTCTGGAGGCATTTTTTAAAAAAAGGGTTGCTTATCACATTGACTCTCTATTAATTTGTAGAACAAATACTTGATACTTTGGCAAATAGTTTATTCAATACTTTGTAAAGTCCTATCCGTGTATCAGCACGTGGGCAATGATGCTAAGAAAATCCATTTCAATGCTGGGAAGGAAAGAAAACAGGAGGTGAGTTTTGCTCTTTGAAGTATCCACTGTAGCGTATTTCTTCCAGAGCGCGGTAGAAAGAGACACCTGGAGACGTTTACCGAGGGGGGTGCCTGGCACACCCTGTGAGACAATGCTTGGACACCATGCCAGTACCTCCTATCGATGGCCCCCGTACTTGGCCATCCAGTCTGTTCTTCCGTGCACAGAGTGAACTGGCTGCGCACGGGTCACAAGGTTCAGAGTTTTGGACGTAGGATTGTAAGTAGGTCCTGAAAACTGGCCCCGACCAGTCTTTGTGGTCCAGGTGTATTCTGAAAGAAACCCAAATTAGGAATTAGAAGTTTGTTCGTTTGACGATCAAATGCAAAATGAAAGAGATGAATCCTGTTATTTCATGGGGGACAATTTGAATTGATCAACTCTGGTCTTTTTAGGGTTTTTCTTAGTTTACTTTTCATTATGTCAACATCAATTAGGAATCACAGGAGGTCAAGGGTCAATATTTCTGGTTTATGGTTCTGACCGCTAGCACTTCTGATCCGAGTTCACATAAAACCATGTAGAGCTGTAACACTAAGAGGAAGGGCCAGGGAAAAGCTGTCGTTTCAATTTCAGTAGGCAACACCCACAGTGTTAAGGACTTTATCAAGTCCACGGCTAACTCTAATGATATGCAACATGGACATCACCACTAATAGAAGATGTATTAGTAATTGTGGATCCCATTCAGCTTCATGGTGCTACCAAGTGAGGTTCTATGGTAGCCCTCCCTTTACAAAACGCAGAGATGGTTTCAAATGTCAAAACAGTCTACTATTTTACAGAGAGGCCAACTGTCTATCTTTTATTGTCCCTCCTACGCTCTCCTCTTCGATTGGGACGGAGATCTGGATGTCACAGGTATTCTAAAGAGGGATGCTTGACTTTTCCATTTGGGATTTAACGATCTTTTTTACATTGTGCTGTTTCCATCATTCTTGACTGAAACTCTCAAAGGTGAAGTGGAACGAGTAGGGCCATCTGGTACGGTGTTGGAATTAAGTGCCGTTGAGGTCGTTCTGACTCGGTGACCCAATGTTCAACAGAACAAAAGCCTGCCTAGTCCTGCGACAGCCTCACAAATGTGACGCTCGAGCCCAGGCTGCAGCCGCGTGTCAATCCATATTGTGGAGAGTCCTCCTCTTTTTTTACACTGGCCCTCTGCTTTGCCAAGCATGATGCTCTTCTCAGGGATTGGTCACTCCGGATGACCTGTTCAAAGTATGTGAGACAAGGCCTCGCTATCCTCTTTTAAAGAGCTCTTTTATAGCACTTTGTCCTACGCCTCATTTGATTTCCTGGCTGCTGTTGATTGTGGATCTGAGTAAAATGAGATCCTTAACAACTTCAATTTTTTCCTCCACTTATCATGATGTTTCTGATTGGTCCTGTTGTGAGGATTTTTGCTTTATGTTGAGGTGTGCGATACACTGACTTACTTGATATGGCTCTTTTAGCCATAGTCTTTGTACCTCCCATCACACACCTGGGTGGGACCATAAAGACTGGGTGTATTTCTTGTCTTGATAGGTCTGGATAAGAGAACCTGGGGACGAGGCTGATTGAATGATATGATTCAGTTGTGAGTAAATGTTAACACGGTTAACTGTGATTATAGAAATTTGGAACTCTAATGTGGGGATTGGTGACTTTTGTCATTCTGCTGGATATAAAACGAGGCAACATAGAAGCAGGAATGGGAGAATCTCACTATCAACAATAAAGAGGGGTCAAGGATAGGGTCTTTTGGACCCTGAGATCCTCTGTATGCTGAACCTCCTTGTCTAGGACAGTGGTTCTTAACCTGTGGGTTGAGACCCCTTTGGGGGTCGGACAACCCTTTCACAGGGTCGCCTAATACATCTTGCATGTCAGATATTTACATTATGGGTCATAACAGTAGCAAAATTAGTTATGAAGTAGCAATGAAAATAATTTTATGGTTGGGGGTCACCATAACATGAGGAACTGTATTAAAGGCCAAGGCATTAGGAAGCTTGAGAACCACTGTCTAGGAGAGAGGGCTCTGACATCCAAAGAGCAGCAGCAGAACCAAGAGCCAGAGCACAAGGCAGAGGAGTGGACTTCCCTGACCATGGAATGAACACCTTTTTGTAGAGTGGATTTCCTCCAGGCACTAAATTGGAGGAGCTGGATTTGCTGACCCATGGAGCTAGAGCCTTTAGGCTAAGGCTTATGGCATGTCCTTTGGGGCATTTATCAACAGTGCTAAAAGTGCTCTGTAACATTGTCTAAGTAGGGCAGAAGGCAAGGAACTGCATGGCTGAGAGGCCAAGGACCAGAGAGAGATGTAACTGCCGGCATGGCTAAAAAAAGGCTGTCCTGAATGAAGAACTGCATCTTGAGAATTTCTGACCCTGAACTATAACCTGTTAAATTCCCCAGGAAACCTCATAACTGTAATACTGTCTAAGGTCTGTGTGGCTGTTGTAATGAATTACCAAACCCAGCAGAGAAGTAGAGTGTACCATGGTAGAGAAGGTTGGTGTTAGAATTGAAGAAGGCTGGAGGGTAGAGGCATTATCTGACTTCCGCCTTGTAAGAATCAGTCTTTGGCAGAGTTGAGTCTCGTTCTCCAGTCCCCTTGTAAAGTCAAGAGGAGGACAGATGTTGCCCCTACACCAGTTTTCTAATGTGTACTCCCCATTGAAGGCTGGAGTCTTTGATCTTCATCCTAAGTGCTCAGGTCCTCTTGAATTTCAGAAAGCAAGACTGTCATCTGCATAGCGCATGTTGTCAATCAGTCTTTCTCCAGTCCTGATGCCAATTTCCTCTTTACACTCCAGCTTCTTGGATTATTGTTTTTTCTTTCTTTCTTGGATATTTGTTCAGCACGCAGATGGAATAAGTATGGTGGTAGGATACAATCCTGACATACACCTTTTTTGATTTTAAAACTTGTTATTCAAACAACTACCTCTTGATCCATGTACAGGTCTGCATGAATATACAATTAAGTGTTCTGCAATTCTCATATTTGAGAATGTTATCGATAATTTGTTATCCACACGTTGAATGCCTTCGCGCAGTCACTAAAACACAAGTAAACATCTTCCTGGCATTCTCTGCGTTCAGCTAAGATCCGTCTGACAGCAGCAATGATTCCCATTCCACATTCTTTTCTGAATCCAGCTTAGGTTTCTGGCAACTCCCTGTTGATGCACTGTCTTCAGCCATAAAATTATCATCAGCCAAATCTCACTGGCATGGGACACTGATTATACTGTTCGCTAATATTCACATTCTGTTGAGCCACATTTCTTTGTAATGGGTAAAAATATGCATCTCTTCCAGTCAGCCAGCCAGGTAGCCTGTTTCCATATTTTTGGGCACAGATTAGTGCGTGCTTCCAGTGTTCAATATTTCAATGGCATTCCACTAATTCCTAGAGATTTTACACCGATGCCTCAAGTGAAGCTTGGATTCCCTCATTAAGGGCTTGGATTCCCTCTTGATCATATGCTACCTCTTGAAATGGTTGAACATCAATTGATTCTTTTTGGTACAGTGGTTTTGTGTAGTCTTTTCATCTTCTTTTGATACTTCCTGCATCACCCAGTATTTTACTCATAGAATCCTTCAATATTTCAACTCAAGGCTCGAATTCTTTCTTTAGTTCTTTCAGCTTGAGAAATGCTGAGCATGTGTGTAAGTCTGGGTTAACTAGAGAAACAAATTCATACACTCATATAAGAATGAGAGAATTTTATATCAAAGAGAAATTATACATTAAGAAAACATCCCAGTCCAGTCCAGATCAAGTCCATAAGTCCATTATTAGCCCATATGTCTGATACCAGTCTATATAAATTCCTCTTCAGACTCAAGCAACACATGCAATGATGCCAATTGCAGGGAGATCACAGGCCAGTGGGTGGAAAGTCTTGTGGATGCAGTGGCAGTTGAAGCATCTCAGCACTGGAAGGGGTTTCCACGTGGTTCCTCCAGCGCCAGGGCGCCAGCTCCATCAGCATAGTTCCTTGTGGCTTGTCAGCAGGAAGATGAAGCAGAGAGTGTAGCTGGTCTCCAGTGAGCTATTTATCTCTCCTTTGAGCTTCCAAATGAGGTCATCAAGCTGTGACCTGATTGACAAGCTAGACTCCATCCCTTTGCAAGTTGACAGATTATGTAACTTCCCTTTGGGTTTTCTAACTCCAGGTCGTCATACATTTCATCATAACACATTTTACTTGGTCTTAGTTGTCCTTTAAATTTTTCTGTTCATCTCTTCTATATTATTATTTCTTCAAGTTGCTTTTGCTGCTTTATGCTCAAGAGATAGTTTCAGAATCTCTTCTGATGGCCACTGTGGTCTTTCCTTTCTTGTCTTTTTATTGGCCTTTGTTTTCTCCATGTATGATGTTCTTGCCGTCATCCCACAACTCTTCTCTTCAATCACTGCTATTCACTGCATCAGACCTGCTCTTGAAACGGTCTCTAAAGTCATGTGGAATACGTGTTTTGCCTTTTGTAGACTTACTTTCCCAAAGCTTCAACCTGAACCTGCAGATGCACAAACGATGGGCTGTTCCACAGCCGGTCCCTGGCCTTGTTTGGGCTGAAAGAAAACTGAGTTCCTCCACCATCTCTCCTCCCAGATGTAGTCTATTTGATTCCTGTGTATCCCAGCTGATGAATAGTATGATTTAAGTTGTTGTGTGTGGGGGTGGGGGTGGGGGTGTTGGTATTGACATTGAAGAAACTGTTGGTGTTCCAAAATTCTACCATGGGATCTTCAGCTTTGCTTTCATCGCCAAGGCCTTATTTTCCAACTACTGATCCTTCCTCTTGTTTCCAATGTTTGCATTCCAATCAATGCATTTTGATTGCATGTTTGCTCAATTTCAGGCTTCAGAATTTGGTAGTATTCTTCAAATTCTTCTTCATTGGCTTTAGTAGTTGGCGCTAAATTTGAATAATAGCCATATTAACTGGTCTTCCTTGTAGATTTAAAAGCATTATCCTATTACAGACAGCATTCTGATTGAAAATAGATCTTGAAATAATAGATCTTGAAATTTTTTTGAAAATTAATGTCATTCCCCTTCAATCTGTCAATTCGAATAAACCATTTAGTTGTCTGATTCAAAATGGCCGGTACCAATCCATTTCAGTTCACTAATGCGTAGACAATTGATCTTTATGCATTTTATTTATTTACCCTAGGTTCACATATAGCTCCTTTCATATTCTAATTATTGATATGTGCAACAGTTCATTCTCATCTCTAGTCATGCCACATCAGCAAATAAAGGGCCTAAAGACCGTTGTTCCATCCGCATCGTTAAGACTGACTCTTCTTTGAGGTAGTAACTCTTCCCCAATTGTCCTTTGAATGCCTTTCAACCCGAGGGCTCATACTCTAGCATTGTATCAGAGAATACTTGCCTGCTATTCATAAGGTTTTCAGTGGCTAATTTTTCAGAAGTGGGACAGTCATTTCTTCTGGCAAGTCAGTTATTGTCCTATAGGATCACTATGAGTTGGCATCAACTCAATGACAGCTGTTTTTTTCGTTCTGTCTTAGTCTGGAAGCTCTACTGAAACCTGTCCATCTTGGATGAACCTGCTGGTACTTGAAAAACTAGTGACATCGCTTCCAGCATCACAGCAACACACAGTTCAGATGAGTGGTGGATATTTAACTCGTTATACCATATTTCCTTGCATGTTTCCCCAATTGTGTTTTCTTATATTTTTACAGTAACACTGGAAATGTAGGAGGGAATTATGAGGACATGTGGGTCCCAGTGTGCTGCTACCTTAGTTTAAAGCCGAGCAGCAGATAGTTACTGTCAAAAATGCTCTCATTTAGTTTGGAGTAGCATGATTTGACAGATTATTGCATTCCACTCTCCTACTCCTGAAATTCTCAGTTAAGGCCACACAAAAGCTACACACAATGGCAGGGACAAAGTGTCCAGAGGACCTGTTAAAAGAGGCCACGTTTTCCAGGCACAGCCCCTTAGTCATAGCTCGTTGGCACAGACACCAGCATCACCTTGTTTAATTAGCTGTCTCCCATCAGGTCTCGAAGTCAACCTGGTCAAGGGTGTAGGAGTGTGTGTAGTGGTTAGGGGTTATATGTCGGGGGTGGGGGTGGTGGGGGTGTCGGGGAGGAAGTTAAGAGTCAGAGTCCTGAGACAAGGCTGAAAAGGAGAAGGAAGAAGCTACTGGGAGGGGTTGTTGGTATGGAGAAGAAAGCAAGGGGCTTGAGAGGAACAGAAGCTTTCTCCAGGTAGTCTAAGGTTAGTGCTAAATAGAGTCACAGGGAAATTCTCCAGGTATATACATACATAATGCTTTATGTATATAAATTAGTAATTGAGTGAAGGTTTACATAGCAGATGATCAGTTTTATATTCAGCAATTCATACACATTTTGTTTCAGCTTACCCACCGCAATCCCCTCCTTTCTGAACCCTCTAAATTGTCCTTGGCTAATTCCTGCCCCTTTGATCTTAAACAGTTTATTACTCTACAGTGTGCATACCACACTACTGCTACTGTTCCCTCTATAGGCCTGTCAGTTATTTGGCTGAAAATTAAGGCAAAGGAGTTAAAGTTGAATTCCTGACATGAAGGGTGACTAGGGGCCATAGTCTTGGGGTTTCCACCAGTCTTTTCCCAATCTGTAAGTCTAGTCCTCTTTTTTTATTTTACGTCTAGTCTCTATTGTGATTTTGAGTTTTGTTCCCCATTCCTCTTCCACTCTATATGTGATCTTCTCACGTGATTCTTTTCAAAGCAATTGGAAGTGGTAGCGGGGTACCATCTAGTTCTTCTCATTTCAGGAGACTAATGTTGATACGGTCCATTAGTTTCAGGTCAGCATTTTAAAACATATCCTTGAAGAAAGAATCATGGTGTCAAGGGTCTTAGTTGGTGGTAGTGTTCACATGGAGGTACCTTTCCCAGAAATCATACCATTTTAGGGCTCAGACCCGCTTGGTAACTAGCAGACACGAGACCCCTGGCAGAGGGCCAGCTTCCTTTCAGTCTCAGCTGTACATCCCATCCCCTGCCCTGCTGCCAAGCACAAGGCAACAAGCCAGCAACGGTAGCTGCACCTGTATTCTGAAAAATGTTTGTCTCATTGAGGGCCTTTAAACCCTCATTAAAAAAATGTTTGCCAAATTAAAGGGCTTTGCCTTCAATTATGGATTTAACTGAACCCATTACAATATTAGGGGGCTTCAAAAAGTTTGGAGAAAAAGCAAATGAAAAGATAATGGGTAATGAAACTATCTTGTAATACTCTTAGCAAAATCTAATACCTCTGAAAAGTGGGAGTCACAATAGCTTTAGGACGAGCGAAGGGGTCAATACAAGCATCTGCAGAGTGCTTAGAACAGAGCCCCGGGCTTCTGAAGGGCAGCTATGTGAAGGGATCACGCCTTTACAATGTTAGTTTCCAAGCAGGGGGTGAGGAGGTATTAGGAAGTTTGTATGAAAGACTGCACCGGGAGGAAGAGGAGACCAATAATTTGACTATTTCTCAAAAGGAAGGAAGAAGGATGAAGTGAGGAAGAACAAAAGGAAGGAAGTAGGATGAAGAGGGAAACTGCCAGGAAGGGGAAATAGTTGAGTAAATATGGTAAATACGGTAATGACCTGGTTTTATTTTCTGTTGGGAAACTGCCACACCAGTAAGGCTGGTAGACCCGGCTCTCACAGAACAGTGTTCCTAAGGATTTGCATTTACCACTTGAGAGCGGTTAATAGTTACTTCTTTTTTTGTTACCTTTCCTCCTATCACCATCTGTAGAAAAAGCTGATATGCAGAGTAAATGAAGAGATGGAAATAATAAGAAAGCATTTACTTAAAGAAAAAAAAGACAACAGGAATATGCACGCTAATCTGGCAGAATAATTAATACATGCAAGCCTTCAACATCTTACAAATATATACACATATATTTGTAATATATACAATACTACACTACATATACATATTGAAAACGTGCTTCTCAAGTTCTAAGAGCAGATACCCAGATAAAACAACTTGAAACAGCATGACTGTTGGCTTTTATATTAAAAATTGCTATTACGTTAGAGTGAATGGCTCTTTGTAAGCCTGGCTCAAAAACATTTGAAGCTTTAAAAATAAGATCTGAAGCTTTATAAAAATCACTGCTGGGCATACAATTTTTAATTAATATTTTTTATATTCCAGCAGATATAATGAAGCAATTCTTTTCACAGTCAAAGTTATCGACTACCCCTCATCTACGCAGTTAGACTGAGATAATAAGCCCCAGGGGTGTGGGGAACAAATGGTCACCATGCTCAGCTGCTGACTGAAAGGCTGGAGGTTTGAGTCCATCCAGGAATACCTTGGAAGAAAGGCCTGCTAATCTACTTCAGAAAACTCCGCCACTGAAATTCCTAGGGAGCAGAGAATTGCTCCGACATCCATGGCCTTGCCAGCAGTGAGAACTGACCCGACTGGCTGCTGTGCAAAGAAATTTTTAAAACCACAGAAATCCAGGGCTTTTTTACATGTTTAGCTCCAAGTGAGCGAACCTTAGTGGTTGGCGATTCAAACCAGGGGGCTTAATGTTAGGTCCTGATTAGCATAGGCTGTGAAATAAACTTTTGGAGGGAAATTTTCCAAGTATCATTAACCAAATCTCGGATGATCTGCCTTAATGCTTTGTTTTAGGTGATTTAATAAAAATATCTGCTTTAGATGAAAATTATTTAGAGAATGTTCATAATCAGATATGATAGTCACCTTGATTTCAAGAGGCAAGCTTTAATTTAGCATTAACATGGCCATAATTTGCCAGTTACTGGTGAGCGGGGAGTAGTCTAAACTAGTCATAACATGGACAGGCAGAGGAATAAACCCTTTTATCATCTAATTTATAAAGCAAGATTTCTGCCACAGCTTATTTCTAGGCTCTCGGTGGGAACTGCAGCGAAACTACATGTAAATGTATCCATGGGAGGTTCTGAAAATGCATCTTTTCACGTTTCATTGGGTAGCATCACACATTCTTTCCAATTGGGCAAACTGAATTTCTATCCCACTCCACCACTGACAACCTGTGCGGCCTTAAGCAACCTATAGTTAAGTGCTACTAAGTTGGTTCCGACTCATAGCGACCCCACACGACATGCCCTGTAGGGCTTTCTGTTTAGCGGCCACATGTTGAACTGTCGTGCTTCCAGGGCTTCTTTACATCAACACGAGGGAGCATGTCTCACCAGACTGAGAATGAGCCTCTGGAGCCGCTGACACAGCGCTGGCAGAGTAAGCATTCATTCGGGGCTGCTCTTCCTTTCCTGTAACTGTTAAGCCTCTCTAACCGGATCTTTGGAAGACAAGGGGGGTATTTCACCCAACAGAATTAGAGCTGTATTAACGAGACGAGGCTCATTTAGACAGCCTCACTCAGGGAGAGTGACTGCGCAAATTTGAAAAAGAGAAGGAAATTTGCTCCCCTCTGTTCAGAAATCTGCGAAGCTGTGTCTAAAGTTGTTCTTACCTGAAGGTGTGGCACCCAGAGGTGCTAAATGGATCCTTTGGCCAGCTGACCCGACTTCTTTTTTGAGAAAGGAAGGAATATATCCTGACTGATTGTAAGTAGCATAACCTCCACGATTCCCTAGTGATGCAGCATAAAGTTTCATAGTCAGAAGGGGATCTGGTAAGCACCTACAGGTTTCTAATACTAATCCTCTGAGCGTCTACTTAATGCTAGGCACTGAACTATGTCTCTTACAGCTATTTTTGTCAGCCCCTATAACAACCCTCATGAGCAGATTGGTATCTTTATTGTGAGCCTCTTTAGATAGATGGTAAGTAATTTGTCCAGGGGCTCATGAATAAGTGACCCAGTTGGACACTGAGCCCAAGCTCAAGTTTGCCTTGAACACACCAGACATTTTATGACTAACATTCTTGACATAAGGGTGTGTTTCCCACCAAGGAACCCCCTTCTCCATGCCTCTTTTTATCTTGCAAAATCATTGCAATAAGTACACCTCACAGGGTTGTTACAGGGATCGAATGAAATGTATATCTAAAGCACATAGCACAGAATCTGGTATTCAATGAATGCCAGCTGTCATCATCATGGCTGTTATGGAAGGGTTCATCACAGAGCAGCTTGGAGATGGGCTGGAGATAGATCTAAACTGAGACATCCAGTCAGGAGGTCACTGCTACAAATGAAATGAGAGAGGAAATAGGTTTACAGGAGGTCACTGCTACAAATGAACTGAGAGAGGACATAGGTTTACAGGATACGGGTGGCAAGGGAAAAAGAGGCCGATAAGCCCCTAAGTTTCTTGCTGTCATATGTTGAATTGTGTCCCCCTTAAAATATGTATTGAGATGCTTATATTCTGCGGATGCAATCTAACCACATGTAATATAATAATCAGCTTCCATAATGCAATCTAATGTAATGCAATGAAGTAATCCATTCAGGTAATACCAGTACAGCGTGGGTCCTAAACCTAGTCACTTCTGAATTGCAAGGAGATCGTCACAGACACAGAGATGTGCAGGAAGACACAGGTGGAAAGACGACGCTGTATGGTGACAGCACAGTCAGAGGAGTCACGAACTACTAGCAGCAGCAACAGATAAAGAAGGAACGCCCCTTCACGTCACACTCTGAATTTGAGTTTCTGGCTCCCAAAACTGAGAAAACAAATGTTGGCCCTTTAAAGCCATCCACTTGCGTTATTTCTGTTAAAGCAGCACAAGGAAAATTGGGTACCTGATGTTGCTGCCGAACAAAGCACCCAGGAGTCAGGTATGGAAAAAGGCTTGTGCTTGTGGGATCTTCAAGGAGGGAAGTCTGGCAGGAAGGCAGGGATTTGTAGTTATCAGGGTATGGAGGGTACAGAGCTATGGGGATGGAGGAGCCTGATCAGAAGGGTCAGAGAATGGGTGAAGACCCAGAATAGAGCCCAGCATTGTGGGCAAGCACAGAACATGAACGTGAGAAGGAGAGAACGGACAGAGGTAGAAGGCAGGAAGGGCAAGGTGTGGAGAGAATAGGATGTGAAGAATGAATGCCGAGTAAACAACAAGTCTGATGGGAAGCAGAAGAGTCCTGCTCGTCTGAGGGGGCCACCATGCTCATGGTGGGGGCTGCCACATGGAAGGAGCAGCAAGCAGGTGAGGACAGGGTGAGAAGGAGTGTAATCTCTCTTCCAAGGAGCCTGGCTGTGCCGGCAAG